TCACAGGAGAGGGCATGGACGAGATGGAGTTCACCGAGGCCGAGAGCAACATGAACGACCTGGTGTCCGAGTACCAGCAGTACCAGGATGCCACGGCTGACGAGGGCGAGGAGGCCTTTGAGGACGAGGACGAGGAGGTCGACGAGTAGTGTGGTCCCTGCCGCCACCACCCCGGGCCCAGACGTCCTCCCTCCAGCTCCGGTGGCCGAGCGGAGCCCTGGTCTGAGTACATGGGTCCAGGCCCCTTGGGAAGGCAGCGGGACTGCCCTGCCAGCCACCCGGGATAAAGGACACCAGAATGCAGGGACCGGCGGCCCTACCCAACGACGTCAGACCAGAGATCTCCACCTGAGGGCTTGAAAGAATGCACGGGCCATAAATAAAGGGCTGGAGAAATAAAGCTTCACCTTCTGTTAAGTGTTCAACCAGGGTTGAGAATCAGGGGGAGTTAGAAACAGTGTGTGTTCATGCTGTGGGGACACCGGGCGCTGTGAGGCACTGCCCCACAATGTGCGGCCCCGCACTTGGAAACCACCCTCCTAATAAAACCCTGCACTGCCTTTGTCTCCTCTAGCCTCTGCTTCCCCATGGTCCCCCCGTCAGGAGGGCTGTCCCTGCAGCACGCTCGGTGCGGGGGAGGGCTGGCCTGAGGGTCTTTAACAGTGGCCAGGCCCTCTGGCGGGACAGTAGCACACCCACAGATAAAGCCGCGTCCCCAGTTGCAGCCAGCACTCGCACCCCCGCAGAATCTTTCACTTCCCTGCCTCCAGCCCTGGCTGGTCTGCCCAGCCTTCCCTGACAGCCCTGCTGAGATCCAGCTGACATTCACCGGAGCTCAGAAAATGACCTTCCAGCCCAAGATGCTGGGCGGGGGCGGCCCTGGGGGCTACCGGCTTCCTTCTAGGGGGAGGTGGGGAAGGGCTCTTTCCCAGGTAACAGGCGAGGAGTCACTCCAGGTGGAGGCACTTTAACGCCAGTGCTAGACCCTCCGCTCACCTCTCCACCCCCTCGTGGGGACACCAAAGATCTGCTGAGCTGAACCCCCGCCCCACAGCGCCCCAGAGTGAACCACTGAACACGCAGCATAGCTTGAACTGAGGTGGGAACAGATTCTGTTCTTGCAGAAACCTGAATGGTTGTCAGACTATGCAGAAGAATCCTGCCACCCCGTCTAAGCTGGACACGGACGAGGTCTGCCTGACCTTGGAGCAGATGGGTCAGGCTAGTCAGGCCCTGACACGCTCGCGCTCTGGGCTGTAGGCCGCTGGCCATGCAGGCCTTCCCTGTGCGGGGGGCCGTGGGTCACCTCCTGGCCCGCAGTCCCGCACAGCTGTCAGTTCTGCCAAGACAGGCCCGACTCACATCTGGCCCAACCCTGGGGGCTCCGCTGGGACCCGCAGGCTGGCACCCTTCCCACAGAGAGGGAGTAAGTCACCCTCACCCACGGGCTTCGCTGACCGACCCGCCACTGCATGCTCTGAGGAAGGGAGGCGGGGACACAGGGCTCCTGCAGCCCCGGGCTCCCAGGACGGAGGAGCCTGCCCGGGCCGCCTGCTGCCCACTGGTCGGCTCCTGCAGGGACGCTGCCCCGTGCTGCACCTTAAGTCTGACAGTCACGGGCCCACAACACTTACCTGCATCAGGAACACACAAGGCAAGCTGGAGTAACACTAAAGGAGGCTGCTGAGAAAGTGCAGAAAATGCAGCAATGTTCAGCGCCTCCAAGTTCAAAAGGCAGCGTCTGGAGCTTCCCTGAGTTTCCCTGTGCCTCCTCAGGTGGCAGTTCTGACCGAGGTCTGCAGCGTGTGGACCCTGCGTCTCTGCAGCCTGGCACACACAACTCCCCCAACGGGACCAGCGAGTTCACGACGTGGACCTTGGCCTGGACCTCTGGGACATGCAGGGGGGCAGACTCCCCAGCTCAGGGCAAGGCCCTGCTCTGCCATCCTGGGCGGCCTGGACAGCCCACGACAGTCACAGACCGGCTTCCAGACCATGCAGAGGGACCAAGGCCTGCTCGTGACCCGCAGAGTGAGGACGTGACCCGCCACCATCGTCACCTGGCACCGACTCACTTGGTGTCAACACTCTTTACTCCCAGAGTCATCCTTCCGGGCGGGACGCACAAATCCAAAGGGGCTGAGCCTCTTGGAGCTGAGGAGGACCCGCCAGCCTGGATGCTGAAGGATTCCTCCCTAAAAAGCAACAACTTTTCATTCCTTTCCATTATGTTTTCTGAAAGTATCCGACGCGTAACCCGGGACCCTCTGTGTGTTCACAAGGAAAGAAGTGCAGTGTTTGTACTTTATTTTTGACATAAAGAAGCTGTATTTACATAATACATTCATTTTTTTAAATATGTTACACTCTCCGTAGAAAAACATTCTATCGCAAAAGAGCAACATGTGATCTGGACTCAATCTCTAAAATATTAAATCAAATGAAAATACTCTATCAGGACTCCAGTTTAATTTCACAGCCATCACAGAGGGAGACCCTGAAGGAGTGAAGAGGGGTGAGGTGAGAATAAGGCCCCCCGAATCCGGCCCCAACAGGGGCACGGGACCCGCTAACCCAGCCGCTGCCCGAGGGCCCGAGGCGGGGCACGTCCCCCGCCCCCAACTTCCCTGTCACCTGGGCTGCAGCCGGCTGACACGACGTCGCAGGGCCTCCTGCGAGCCGGCGCTGACATCGTGTGCACACCGAGGCTGCGACACAAGACGCGCCACAACGCCCCCCTCAGCTCTGGTTGGCGGCCTTCTCACCCGCGGGCTCCTCGCGGGCCCCTTCCCGCTCTTTGTTCCACTCCTTCAGGCCCTCTGGGAGCGAGGTGTCCTCGTCCAGGCTGCCTGTGCCTTCCACAAATTCTTCGTAGGTAGACTTCTCTGCGAATGGCCTGGGGCCCAGAAGTTCAACCATGTCATTCTTGTCCAGCACTTCTTTTTCTAGTAACAGGAGAGCGACCTGGACAGAAGGGCACGGTTCAACGTTACCAGCAGGGTCCATGCACGGCTGACGACGCTGATTTACAGCCCACCCCCTCCCAGAAAAGGACGCCAGGCCCCTGGGAAGAAAGAGCTATTCATGGCCACACAGTGTTAGAATGAGGTGTGCAAGAACACTGGACTAACACGCATTCCGGGCCGCACATGAGTGACGGCGGGGCTCGCGCAGGGCTGTGCCCAGGGAGGAGAGCCGGCCGAGGGGCTCTCTGTGCTGACAGACCATGCGGAAATTCTGGGAGGACGCACAAGGTCGTAACACAAGTGTCGGGTGGGGGAAGGATGGAAATGGGGTGAGTAGGAAATTCTAGAAGTTGGTGGAAAAAATAAGGACAAATGAGGCAGAGACACAAAACACAGCAGGAGGGGAGCAGGAACACTCGCACCCTGAGGTTCTGATCTCCGGGGAGGCTGAGCCACAAATCTGACAGGGACCCCCGCCAACGGCGAGTGTGGAGGTGAGTGGCAGCGTCAGCAGGGCAGGGTGGTCACATTAGAGCTCTGACTGCTAGCAGGCAGGTGAAGTTGTAAACTCTCAGGAAGCAGACTTGGTTCCTCCCGTAACCCCCCGCGGAGAAATTTATCTTGCCTGTAGTCTACATTAAATGCTGTATTTTAAAAGATAGCTAATGATAAAACAATTCCTTTCTATCTTCTCAATTTTTAAAACCTTTATTATGGATTACTTCAAATACGTACCAAAAATATACAGAAAGAATACGGATAACTAACAAGAACTAGCCACTCACAGCCATCTGTGTTTCATCTACTCCCCGGATTGTTCTGAAGAAAATCCCAGATGCCTTACCATTTTATCCGTAAGTTTTTGTCTCTAAGGGATAAAGACTCTTTAAGGCCTGGTCAGAGGTCAACGGCCAGTCCGCATCCTGGTCCCGCCCCTTCCAGCCAAGTGCCCCTGCGCAAAGCTCCTAGACCTCCCTGGGTGTTCGTTTCTTCACCTGTAACTCGTGGACGGTAAGGCAGTGACCTCAGGAGGCTGCGGGGGTTTCAGAGAAGTCGTATCTCTCAGGCAGCACCTGGGAAACACGCTCGGTTACCTGCTCTCCTGAGGCCTGGCCCGAGGCCACCCTGCCCAACTGTCTCCTGCAGACGTTTCCTGGTTGTCTGCCGGTGGGCTGTGCCTTCGGAAGGGGGGACCCCGGGGTAAGCGGGGAGCTCCCGGGTGCTCCTGCGCCCTCTGCTGTGGTCCGCAGCTCACTCCCTCCTCAGTGACCGGCCCAGGGCGGCCGCCTGCCCCCTCCAGCTGCAGGTGCCCCTGCCTGTCCTGACTAACCCTTTCCTCCCGGCCGGCCGGTGTCCGCCACCAGGAGGAGCCTGAAGTCACCCCGAGGCCTCTTCTTGTTTACTCTCTGCATCTGAGCAATGACCCTCTACCTGTTGCTGCTGCCTGGCCGGGCCTGCCTCGAAGCTCATGAGAGTTTCAAGCATTAAAAAAAGCAAAAACCTGTTTTTGGTTGTTCGGATTATAATTAGGCTTCACTAGACGCAGGAAAAGGACCAGATGAGAAAGGACGGCTCCCTTCAGCAGCTGCTGTCAAATGAGGCCCCAGGAAGGAAAAGACAGAGCAGGGAGGGCGTCGTGAAAGCACAGGTGGTTTTCACGTGTCGACTCCTGCTGAGCTAGGCTGGCTGGTTCTTCTGGTTGCCCTTTGGCTGCGTCTTCATCCCGAAGGTGAAGAACGAGTGTCGACCCCAATCGGGACTCGGGCTCTGCACTTCAGGTGCGTCTGGGGCGAGCGCGGACCCCCTGCCTCTCTGGCACTGTTAGGGCTTCGTGAGCCCCCACTGCACCCCCCGCCTCCCCGACTCGGAGCAGAGCCGGCACCGGCACGAGGCGTGCGGCAGGTGCCTACCTTCTCCACGTCCGCCTTCTTCTCCGTCAGGAGGGCGACCGTCCTCTTGTGGGCGTCGCTGATGAGCAGCCGCACCTCATCATCGATCAGCCTCGCGGTAGCCTCGCTGTAGGGCTTCTCCAGGACCATGTCCCCCTGGCGCGGCAGGTCGAAGGAGATCTGCCCGACCTTCTCGTTCATGCCGAACTGCACGATCTGGACCAGAACGCATGAGTGAGCCGCCCTGCTCACAGGCCCATGTGCTGCTATGTGGCGGCGACGAGCCCTTACAATGACACCCATTCCACACCCTTCACTGCGAGACTGCTCTGCACCCGGCAGCCCGGCCTTCTGCGTGGATGGACACAGCGGGGACACAACCAGAAGCCCACAGATGACACCCACAGCAAACCAGGTGGCAGACAGGCGGGACAAACCCCACGACATCGCCTCCGAGTGAGGGGAGGCGAGGGAAGTGGAGGGGCCCCAGGCCGCCCAGGCACCTGGACCTGGGAGGGGCCCGTGCACGGTCCCTGCCTCCGTGGGCCATGCTGGGCTGGACCCGATGAGCCCACACTAGCCCCACATTAAGAAGCTTCTGGGAGTAGAATCCAAACTAACTAGAAAAGAGAAGGTGCAGATAAAAGTGGGGAGCAGGACGGGCTCAGAGAGGAGGAAACCACATTTTTCAAACGTTTAGGAGAACAACAGAAAAGGAGAATCTACAACCGTGAAACTAGCAAAGCTGTCCTGACCCACCTCCTTCCCAAGAGACCAGGAAAGCAAACTGCACGTAGAAACAGGCTACAGGAGAGCATGAAAGGAAAGGAAGGGCCAGAGTCCCGTCTCCACAGATGAGGCAAGTGGGACGGACAGACGCCCGCGGAACAGATGAGAGCCCTAACCACAGCCTCGGAAACACCCACTCACGCCCGGAAAGTGAGGAAAAAGCAGAGAACTAGTCAGGATCAGAGAAACGCACCCGAGGTGCCAGATGGCAGGAGAGTTAGACACAAGGAAAAATACTGAAAGTGGAGATTAAAGTAGAAAGAACATAAGCAAACAACAGATAACGTGTAAGAAAGATAAAACAGGAAGAAGACAAATTTTTAAGAATTAAAAAAATGAGTCATTAGAAAAAACGTGAGCGGACAGGCCCTGAGCAGCGCAGGTCCCAGCAGAGTCCCCACGAGGTCTGCCCTGGGCCGCGTGCGGCGCGGAGGCACTTAGCGAGGACGGCAGGGGCAGGCACAGCAGAGTGCACGGGGCACCTGCCGGCTTCCAACGGGACCGACACCACACACGGGCTTCACTCGTGCTCAGTCAGAAATCACTGTGCTACAGGGAAGGCCTCTTCCTCAGACGCTGTTAGAGAGGACCCCTCCCGAGAACCAAGCCAGGCCTGCATGTCCTCACCCGGCAAGCTCAGCAGGGGCACCGGGGGCTCGGGGAGCCCAAGGGAGTGCAGGGGCAGGATGGGCCCACGCGCACTCACCTGGGCGTAGGCGCTCTGAGTTACTTTGCGCAGGTCGTCCTGGGCGCCAGTGGTGATCCTGCCGAAGAAGAGCTCCTCGGCCACGCGGCCACCCAGCGTCATGCACATCCTGTCCAGGAGCTGCTCCCGGGTGTACAGGTACTGCTCCCGGGGCAGGTACTGCGCGTAGCCCAGCCCCTTGCCCCGCGGGATGATGGACACCTGGCAGGGGAGCACAGCGGTGTGGGCACCACCAGCCCTGCATCCTCGCCGTGTCCACAGCCAGATGCACTGGTCGGGTGGCCCGTCGGCCTGGGTGCCTTGAGATCCAGCGGGACAAGGCAGGAGAGAACTTTCTCCCAGGACGCCTGCAGCGTTGAGTCCGGGAAGGGATTCTCTCTGTCACACTCAGCTGAACCGTCCCTCCCCATGACCTGACCGCCAGCCCCGCCCACGCCTGCTCCCACGACGCAGACTCCGGCCAGCAGGCTTCATTTTCTAGTCCTCTTTTCCCAGCTTAATTCCTTTCAGCTCTAAAAATTGCCTTTGCTGGGGGATGGTGTATACGTGACAAAACACGGCCCTTACGACAAGAAAGACAAAGAAAACCTCGTCTTCTCCCCAGAGCCGCCCCCCGGGCTGACCTGCACGCGCGCCCGCCCTGTCAGCAGCAGACGTGCCCCGGGGGCGGCCGCAGTGACCAGCATGGCACGTGAACGGCCTCCCGCGGCGTGCGCCTCCCCGGGCCTGGTCCCGGCCGCCGTCCCCGAGACTCGCCCTCGCTGCTGCTAAGTGAACGTCCGTTCACTCTGACTGCTGCACGGCGACCCGCTGTGCAGACACAGCACATGCTCACTGTTCTGGAGGAACTTCAGGGCTTTTCCCAGTTTACTGCTGCTTTGAATAGAGCAGTCAGTCTTTCGTGGACATGCTTTTCATTTCTCTTGGGTAAATACCAGAGTGGGACCGTTTGGTTGGATCAGAAGCATTCGTTATCTTTCTAAAAAACTGCCACGGTATTTTCCAAAGTGGCCGCACCAGGTTCCGTCCCATTAGCGAGGCCCATGAGTCTGGCTACACTGAGGGGGCTGCAGTAGTGCCTGGTCACGGCTGACGACTCCAGCAGCAGTAACTGCAGGGCCTAACTCATGTTCCTCCTCCTTGCGGCAGTACATGGGCAAACACCTTGCCTGCTATTTTAGAGGTTGCTTGCTTTGGAGGATGAATGCTCCTCCACCTTCTGGACACTGTCTTTCCAAACCTTTTAGCTCATCTGTGTGACCTCTTCCCCACCCCCACCATCAGCAGACGTCTGCCACGATTCCTCATACGCCTGCCCTCCGGGGAGTGTCTCCTCCCTAAGCTGCGGCTCACACGGCTGGCCGGGCAGCCTTCTGCTCAGCACCGACGGCCTTACCTTCAGGAGCGGGTCGGCGTGCTCCAGGTACCAGCCGGCAACCGCGTGGCCGGCCTCGTGGTACGCCACCGTCTTCTTTTCCTCGGGCTGCAGGACCTGGGTTTTCTTCTCTAAGCCTGACAGAACAAAACCCACGCTTTAGTGGCAGTGACATCAAGAGCGGGTTCCACGCTACCGCACGCTGCCTCACCCGTGACGTGACACGGAGACTCGCAGCCAGGGTCCGAGCAGGAGCGCAGCGTCAACGTGAAGCCACCCCCCACCCCGCAGCCCGCTTTCCTCTTACTCTCCCAGTCCCGGGCCACTTAGCTCACTCTGGGAAATAAATAGAACGGCCAAGTAAAATTCAGCGCTCAGGTCGATTCAAAACAGAACTCATAGAAAACAAAGGCATGGTCTGGGCATCGGGAATTTACACACACTGGGGAACAAGGACCCCGAGGAAGGAGCGGGGCTGGGGAAGGGCTGGAGACGCCCGCCCGGAGCGGCCCCGGGACCCGCTGCCCCAGCGCAGCGGCCTGAGACGACACGCTCGCCTGCATCACTCGGAGTTGGAGGACCCCGTCCCGTAGTTTGTTCCAACACAAATCACACGCGAGACAATGGTGTTCCTGTGCTCCAGGTAACTCATGTGGGAGAAGCCCTCCACTGGTAACACACTAAGGAGTCCAGAAGAGCGAGTGCCACGTCTCGGCCGGCCTCCGTCTGCCATTGCTCGGTAAGGAGCACGGGGTTCTCTGCCTGCAGCTGCCTCCCTCCTCCTCAGAGGTGCACATCCCGAAACTACCACTTGTCTCAGCATCACGGCACTCGGCGGCTCGGGGACCCGTGCTAGGTCAGTCTCGCCACGGAACCACGTTTCATAAGCCCTTAAGCTTAACATTCAAGGCTCTGTAAAACCTAGAGTCAGATGAGCTTTCTCAGCTTTGTCTCTGCCTCACTTCCCAGGGGGACCCGAGTCTGACGAGTCTGCCCTCCTCCCCCGGGCGCGGCGTCACAGTGCCACCTCCAAGCCGCTTCTGTCCCCGCCGCCCCACACCACACCGCTCTCTGCCGACCCTGGGCGAGCCCCGCTCCCGCGGAGCCCGCCGGCCCACGTTCCTGACCCACAGTGACCTCTGCACCGGTATTAAACCATCCGCGCTCTGGGAAGCGAGGAACCCGCCACAGGCACACGCTGAGTGTGTCCTGGTCCCACAGCTGCTACGGCTACTGGTCACCTACGCCTGGCTCGGAGAACGTTTAACTCATACGATGACGTTTTTGGAAACAGTAAGACTGGGAGTGTTTTCAGAAAACTGGCGCGTGCACCTCTGGGGAGACACCTCCCCGCTTGGGGGACGGGGGGCAGCACCTCATGGCGCCACCGGCCCTGGCAGGCGCCAAAGGAGAGAGGCTTGGGGCAGCAGGTCCCAGGGGGCCCCAGCGGGCGGCTGAGCCCCTGGGCCTCCCGCCATGCAGCCCCGTGACGTGGGTTCTTACCACCAATCACCCGCTCAATCGCCTGCTCGAAGTGTTTCTGGTTTATGGCATCCGAGAGGTGCCTCGCAGCGATCAGAGCAGCCTCATTGCAGACATTTGCAACGTCGGCTCCTGTGAAAGGAACACACACCAACAGCTCACCCACCAGACACAGCCAGGCTGGCCGGTCACACGCGGAGAGTGAGGGACCACGGTCCCCCTCCCACAGCGGAAGGATGCCTGGACGACCTCAGTGTGGCTCAGTGGCATCGTGACCGTCCTGAGCCGCTCCAGGTGCAGGGCCCGCCCGGCACAATCCTGGCCCTGTGGACTGAGCTGCGAGCATGCACAGTGGACGGACCCCACAGGAGCCGTCTACCTGGACAGACGGCGTGGACCATGTGCCAGCAGGACGGCACTGAAGGTGCCCGTCAGGGGGCTCAGCGCCGCCGCGGGGACTGACTGGCGCGGACACGCGGGGATACGGTGGGAAGAAGCATCACAGGGACCCAGCGCCTCAGTCACACAGCAGAGGTCGGCTGTGGGAAGCCCGCCAAGTGCTCTCTAGACCCTTCAGTCCCTGTGTGTTACCCTTTCACATAAAGCCACAACACAATGTGCTCAGTTATCACGAAAAGTCAGGCCCCCGGGACACTGCAGGTGCCCGTGCCCATGGATACATCTTCCCAGACGCTCCGGATGGTCCTTTTTATTTCACATCAAGGGTGGAAGGAGGGAGACAGCGAATGAGAAAGGAAGCATCCCACCCGGCGAGGAGAACGGGGCTGCGCTCACTCACCTGAAAACCCTGGAGTCAGGGATGCGAGCTTCCTCGCCAGCTTCTCCTTTTCCAGGGCGCTGTCCAGCTTCAGGGGTCGGAGGTGAACTTTGAAAATAGAGGCTCTTCCTTTTATGTCCGGTGGTCCTTGAGAAAGTATTTTTCAGGAAAATAAATCACAGTGAAGCAGTGACACCTCTCCTCACGGGAACTGGACTGGGCCCAGGGAAACCGTCTCACCAATGAAGATCTGCCGGTCGAAGCGGCCCGGCCGCATCAGCGCGGGGTCCAGGATGTCTGGCCGGTTGGTGCCCGCCAAAATGACCACGTTTGTGGTCGTGTTAAAGCCTGGAAAGACACCAAAGGCACCCGCGTTATGAAATCCTGCGAGGCGGAGGCAGCAGTGTGCGCACCAGGACCTTGGGGCGCTACCCGCCGCGGTCAGCCCGTTCACGGCCGGCGCGCTCAGAGCTGCCGACTTGCACGCTTCTTCCTACTCACCTTGTCCTTCCTGACAAGTCACACATAAGACTCAGAGCCTTAAGGATCAGTTACTAACCAATTACGAAAGACAAATTACTAAAGATTTTAATTTATGTAACAAGAGACTTGGATGATGATGTCAATTTTACAACTTCAAAGGTTTACAATCACTAAGATTAAATCTGCAAAGGTCGAGTTTAGGCTTCCTGGGCTGCAGGACCCCTGCCGGCGTCTGCAGGCAGGTCCCCAACCTGCCCCTCCCTGCCCTCCCCTCCAGGCCCAGCTCCCTCCACCTGACCGGCTGTTTCTCAGACGGCAGCAGAGCCCGCGGCCCCAGGACCCTGGCCCTGAAGGGGCCCCAGGGTGGGCTGTGCTGTGCACCAGGCCTAGGAGCCAAGGAGGGGCTCCAGCTTCTTGGGCCTGACCCCAAGCCTGGCTCAGGAAGGCAGGCAGCTCTGTGCCCGGCAGCATCCACGCAGCTCACAGCAGGGAGGACCCTGCCCGCCCCAGAACTCTCTCGCAACAGGAAAGCTCGTTAATGCAGTACAGCGTTCACAATCCGCCTGAGTCACAGGTGGTCTGAGAATGACACTAATTCTGAGGACTGGGGCTGACACTGTCCCCGAAGGGACACACGTCACCAGTTTTCCTTACTCAGCACCAGGTTCTCACACTAGATCACCGTCAGTGTGAGCGATGGCAGGCCGCCAGGCAGGACGGTCCTGCTGTTCTCTGCACGGGCCTTTAGAAGGGGCTGCTTGTGTCAGAGAAGGCCGCCTGCTGCCATGTCAGCGCAGACAGCTGCAGACACCAGACGCGGCTGCTCACCGTCCATCTCCACCAGCAGCTGGTTGAGGGTGTTCTCCTGCTCGCTCTGTCCCCCGAAGTTGCCCCTTCCTCTCTTCCTCCCCACGGCATCTATCTCATCGATGAAGAGGATGCAAGGAGCGTTCTTCCGAGCGAGGGCAAAGAGGTCGCGGACCTGAAGAAAACCACAACTCTGAGCTCCTGGCAAGTGAGTGGACGCCCAGCTTCCTGTCCCACAGGGAGACAGGCTGGTGTCACACACTGCACAGTGCAAACTTGAGAAGTCACCAAAGCAGCAGAGAAGTGAAGTGGCGAACGATGAATAACTTGGTGGGAAACTGATGTAAGGCGAGCAGATGTTATTTCTAGACTGTCACCAATTATTGTTACATAATGAGCCACAAACATCAGCAGAGTCACAGCACACACCTCTGTCCAACAAAAGGTAACAGTGCACAACTGTCCAGTTTACACCCGTTTTCAGTCTGCTCGCAGCAAACCCCTCCGGGTCCCCTTGGTGCCCGAGGCAGTCAACAAAGCAGACACTTACCCCAGCTCAGCCCCGTGTACACACAGCAGAGGCACGGCCCCCCCCCACCGCTCAACTCCCACCCCGCGGAGCAGGCCTCAGCTGCCCCATCGCCCGCCCTCGAGAGACTCAGAGACACACCCCGAGGCCTGGTCTCCCGTCACTTTCCTCAGAGTCCACTCGCCCCACCACCCTCTCCGGCCTGGGTCCTGGGTTTCTGCCCCACGTGGCTGTGAACCGGCCCCCTCACGATGGAGCCCAGCACCCGGCACCCCTCCCTGAACTCCACACCTGCGATCGACCCCCCAGCCCGTCCCTGGACACTGTCCTCACCTCACCTGACCCGAAACTGGCTGCCCCGCTGAGCTCTCCACCTGAAGGGGTTCCTAGCCCTCCCTCCAGGCTAGCTGCAGCTGGGGTCCACCTCACACCCCATCCCTACCTCGGACCCCGCCAGCTGGGGCTCCCTGCATGGCATCTGCTCTACCCTCTGGCGCCCACGGTCCCAGGCCAGGAGCTACGTCCTCAGTCCCCTGACCTGCCTCTGCCGTGGCCAGCAAGCCCTCCGACAAGCAGCCTTGAGGGCCTGCTCTGATCACTGTTGCCCGGTGCCTGCCACAACCTGCTCTCCACCTATGGCCCAGCTCCTGCCCTGCTCACCTAGCCCCGACACCTCCTCTCCTGCCTCCAGCCCCCTCGCCCACGTGAGAGCCCATGGCCCATCATTACAACACTCGACTGCTCCACAGTCCCCGGTGTTCCAAGGCTTCTGTGCCTCACAAGCCAGGGCTCCACCCGCCCCCAGCACAGCTCATCTAAGACCCCCCGAGGATGAGACCATCACCGCCAAGCCTGCCACAACGCAAAGCTCCGCACCGATGGCGGCTGTGTCCCGACGCCTGGAGAAGCACCTGGGACAGCACCTCTGCAGTGCTTTACAAAGTCCACACCTTAGACACTGGTGAGACAAGAGTGAAAACTGAAGTGTTTGGCCCACACTCACACTTCTGATTTCTGGACTTACTACAGAAACGGGAGTAGAACTGTGGAATTCAAAGTCCAGAAATAAACCCAGGTATCTATCTGTGGTCAAGGCCGCGAAACCATTCAAGGGAGAAAGAAGGGGCTTTTCAACAAATGGCACCGGGAAAACTGGGTCCACACGTGTGAAGAGTGAAGGTGGACCCTTACCTCACACCATGTTAGCTCAACGTGGATCACAGATCTGAACGTAAGGGGGGGACTCTAACAGCCACAGAAGAAAACATAGGAGTACTTAGGCATGACCTTGGGTTTGGCAACTGGTTCTTCAACGTGGCACTAGAAGCACAAGCATTAAGGGAAACAAAACAGATACACTGGACTGCATCAGAATCTAAACCTTGTATTTTACTATCAAGAAAATGAAGAGACAACCCACAGAATGGGAGAAAACACCTGAAACGTTCATCCACCAGCAGTCAGTACCGGGGACATACAAAGAACTTGCACAACTCAGCAACAGCAAATCCACCCGACTAGCCGACTGGGACCGGGGCGGCGGGGTCAAAGTCACAGGCCTTCCCACAGGCTCTGCCCTGCCACGGCTGCCAAGGCACTGACCAGTGAGGGACGCTCCCCGGGACTCCAGGCGACAGGGCCATCTTTGCCAGGCTCCCCTTTGGGGGGTCCTGGGGGGAAGGGGGAGGAGGCCGCACCATCAGAACAGGACATAGGACTTACTCGAGCTGGACCCACACCGACAAACATCTCCAAGAACTCAGAGCCACTGACGGTGATGAAAGGGACGTTGGCTTCCCCGGCTGTGGCCTTGGCCAGCAGTGTTTTCCCAGTGCCTGGAGGACCAGTGAGAATGGCACCCTTCAGATACAAAAAAAAGTACATTCAACTAGGACTTCAGAAAACTACATCGCGTATCCATAAATCACTGCAAGGCGTAAGCGTGTCTGCACACTCCAGTGACACACGCTACGTAGCTCTTAACGTGAACGATGGCACAGCACTTCTCGTATGAGTAAGAAAAGGGTTATCAGAGACTGCTTTGTTTAAAGTAACTTGGCAGGAATGTGAAATCTTAAATACTTCCCTTATTTTATGACATTTTTCGTGTTGCTTCTTAGACCTTTCAAAGAGTATATAAAGGGTGACTTACGCTACAAACCTAATAAAAGCCACCTGAGAGTTACTTCGATCATTCAAGGGGGAACAAATACCACACACACTTCGCTTATTTTCTCCCCTTTGAAATTTCAAATGAAGTAAAAAACCCAACAACCACGGTGAACTCGAGAAGGACAGCACGCGCTTCTCAGACACGGTCATTAACTTTGGCTGTGGAGATGCTGGCGTAAGAGGTAAACGGGTACTCAGACGAGTAACAGCAAATTACAAAGTGACAACACGTGACCTCCCACCCTGCAGGCGGGCCAGACCCGGAAGCAAGGAAGTGCCGCCCCCCTCTACAGAGGCTCCTTTGGAGGAGACTCTGATGACGGATCTTTACAAGAATCAGACGTTTCCTCCTCGGGCCTTCCCTTCCCGGCTGAGCCTGGCCCCGGGAACGCCAAGGTCTCAGGGCTGCCCGTCGCCAGCGGTGGGCACGGTAGCTCGTGCTCCCGCCCGTCCTCCCCCGAGCCTGAATGCTGGCCCGGGCAGATGTCTGCACCTGCTGCTGCAGGTGGCAACACGCGGGGGCTGCAGCTGCGGGGACAGGGGCATGGAGTCACAGAAAGACACACGGCAGCCCGAGGCCGCTTCCAAGGGGAGGTGCACCGATTTTCTGGGCAAACAACAGCACGTGCAGGAACAGAGCAGTGGCCTGAGCAGACGCTCAGCTTACAGAGACGAGTTATGTCAGGATGGAGGAAGGAGAGAAACAGCTGCTTTATGACAAGTACTCAAACTGCGTAACATTATAACTTCAGAGTCAGGAAATCTTCAAAGGATTTTCAGGTTAACAAGCTGCCAATCACCTTCTGAAAGCTCATTTTACCTTTGGGATCTTTGCACCCAGGTCTTGGTACTGCTTTGGGTTTTTCAGGAAATTCACGAACTCCATGATCTCCAGCTTGGCCTCCTCACAGCCCGCCACGTCTTTGAACTTCACGTCTATCTCGTCCCTCAGCACCTTGGCGGTGGTCTCCCCGACACTGAAGAGGCCGCCCATGCCGCGGCCCGAGCGGCCGATGCCGGCCGGCCCCCTCCGGATGGTGTAGAGCAGGAAGGCGATGATGAGCGCGGTGGGCAGCATGCTCAGCAGGAAGGAGCTGCGGGCGCACGCAGCAAGGCTCAGTGCTCCGAGGCCCGCAGGGCGGCTGCTGGACACAGCGCGCACTTCCTCCGCACAAAACCTGGCCGTCCTAACACCCTCCCTGGGGCGCAGGAGGGCCGTGCCGTGTCACCACCACCGGAGCAGAAGCACAGCGAGTGACACCCAAGAACGGCCACTGTCACCGCCGTGCCAGGCAGGGACTCGCCTCTACCCCAGTAACCTCCACTGCGCCCCGCATGGACCCGCGGTTCACTCTCATTACATCTGCTTCAGAGAAATCTCTTTCCACGTGCTCTCTTAAAAACTTCAACATGATTCTGGTGTTAACCTGGGTAGAAATTCCAGTTCTCTTACTAGAACCCCTCAATTTATTCTGAACAGGTATCTTCCAAATGTCCAATCCTCAGTTAACAGCGTACAGTAAAAGCTGTGTCTGTGTGGCCGGGTGGGCTCACAGGCGCCCCAGGGGACAGGAGTGCCCCCCAACCCCGGGCTGCTCTGGGGGGAGTGGTTCAGGAGGGACCCACAGCCTCTGCCTCCCCTTTGTTTGTCTTAGTAAAGTTAATTTCAGCACAACTACGGGCGCTGTGTAGTACGATGCAGTACAGTTTAACCCACCCCAAGAACTCTGGATCAGAATCTTGTACTTGGTTCAGGTGAAAAACAAAACCAAACAAGGAAAAAAAACCCCCCACAGGATTAGCTTTCTAATTTTTCATCTATTTTAGTTTAATTATTTTATTTTGGCGGGGGAGGTAATTAGGTTGGTTTATTTTTAGAGGAGGTACTGGAGACTGAACCCAGGACCCCGTGCGTGCCGAGCATGCGCTCTGCTGCTTGAGCTACACCCTCCTCCTGCGTCTATTTAAAATTTTAAACACCGCCACAGCAGGCAGCAGAAACCAGGAGAGAACTACCTTTGGTTTATTTCTGGAGGGAAAAAACCCATGCTGACAATAGAGGTTTAAAAAATGCTGCATTACAAAACTTTGTGTGATGTCTCAGCACCAGCCCATTAAGTAAGTGTGACAGCCTCGGGGCTGAGGACCATGTTGCGTGTGAAGCCATGCCAACGGCTAGGCGGGCCTAACTTCTGCAGGCAGACTGTAGGTCTGCACGAAGCAGGATTCAAGAAGTCCAAGAAGCTGAGAGAGACTCAGCTCGCTGACTTGCCAGCGATCCATCTTCCTGCTCTTCCACGTGGTGACTACAGCCAGGCCCGCCTGCCCTCTGCACTGAAGGCGGACGGGGTCACCAGGTCTCCCTGCATGCGCGCGGCGAGCACCCAGAGGCCAGACGCCCGAGTCAGCTCCAGGTCACCACCCCTGACACCAACGGGCCCTTCCTGAGAGACCCCGAGCCAACGCGGCCTCCCTGAAGACAGGGGCTACGGGAAGCTGTGGCTCCGACAGGGAGGAGGGGGGCCTGCTTCACTTGCCTTGGAAGACTGAGCGGCAACAGGGAGGACAGGGAAGGTGGAGGCGCCCCTCTGACCACACAGGGCCCTCGGTGCGAAGGCCCTACTAAAAGATGGTGCACTGGACCCGCGCCCCAAACCACTGCTTAATCATGATAAACGTCCACGTGGGGCGGGCCAACCAGACACCCGCCCAAACTCGGGCATTCCTAATGGTTAAAAACCCCAGCCAAAGGGAGAACATAACATGGACCCGCGGCCACCTGGCGACAGCACACTCGAGACCCTCCCAGAGCAGGGCCCTCGTGTCTCCGCTGCTTCTTACCCGTCACTTTCGGCGATGTAGACCACGGGGACCCGGTTCTCCCCTTCTATGCCCAGCTCCTGCTGTAAAGTCTCCAGATTCCGCTCAAAGGTGTCCACGCTGCCAATGTTGAACCAGACGTACTGCTACCAAGACAGGAAGACACAGACGTGCTGACTTTGTCAGGCATGAAGAGGAGATGAACGGTTCCCATCACTAAAAGGTTCGGCTTTCTAAGAACTTTCCAGAAATACTGAAAATTTACAAATTAGAAAACCCCAACAACATTAAGACTGGCTTCAACGAGGCAGTGATCGCGCCCCGCTCTGTGAGAGCGCTTGGCGAGCCTCGGCAGGTAACGGCTCTCCAGCAGCGTTCCTCATGCTTCTAAAGTGAGTGACTCAGGGGAATGAAAAATCTACTGGAAAAGACACCCCTTTTCATAAAAAACATGCATCCTCTTCCTCTTCTCTATTTCCCAGGGATATCTCAGCTGCTGAGCCCCAAACTAAAAACCAACATGCGGCCGGGGTGGCACCCCTGCAGAGTCAGTGAGGTCCTGGCCCCGGATCCACCGAGACTCACCCGGTCCTCGGAGGAGGTGCCCCACCGGCCGTCAGGGAAGACACTGCACCCCATGAGACAGAAGCCCCTGGCCGTGCCAGGTGCTCCCTGTTCACTTGACCTGAGGGGCTTCTGGGGCCCTAGGGAGGGACACCAGAAGGCTTGAGGCGATGGCTGTGTTGGCTGGGTGATGACTCCACGTGGGCTGGGTGTCAGCCCAACGCCTACCGCCCCTGCTACAGGAGGAAACCATGGCGTGGCCACACACGCCCACAGCCGCACGTGGAGTGACAGTGCGGGCCAGTGACGACCACCAGCGTCACACTGCCTTTCCAGCACAACCAGGAAACACCTGTGAAGGGTCACCGCACCCTGGACCCTGTTCCGAGCAGCCTGCACTGCACGGCACAGAAAGACTCTGTTTCTCCTCTAATCCACGATCGCTTCACAAAAATAGATTTTTTTTATCCAAACGGTAAACCTATGCTATAAAACCCAGGCGGGCAACAGGCCTCCCCAGGGCCCTCCCCAGCCAGGGTTACTGAGCAGGAGCAGCACCCTGGAGGTGAGAAGCATGTTTCATCACGTCCCGCAGCAGTGGTTCTCGGTGTCGAGGGTCACCCTGCCACACTGCCCCACCTGACCCGTCTCACTACCACCACGGGAGGCAATGTCTGTTCAGTTTTAAAGCTGAGGAGGTAACATACAACTAATTCACATCAATTAATAAAATCATTTACCCCATCAACGGGAGTTTTTCCTGGTGTAAAAGTCACTCGAACAAAACGCTTGTTGACGACTTCCAGTCTGTCTACCTGGAATTTTAAAAAGTCGAGCATTCAGACATAAATGTACAGAAAAGACTTGAGATATTCTTTTAAGCTCTTTAAAAATGAATATGATATTTCAGACGTACAGAGGAGGACAAGGGGGGACGTAAGGATACTCCATGTCCCCCGCTGGCTGGAGAAACCAGGCACCGGGAACCCCAGGGGCAGCCCTCAGCACTGGGCGCCCCAGAGCGCCTCCGGCCCCGACACAGCACAGACCTGGCCCTACATGTGCACTCACTTCTGCCTGTTTCTAAGCGTTAAAAATGGCCTCGCTGGCACGTGTTCTTCTACAACTTCGCAGGTCTGTCTTTGCTGACGTCCGCTCTGCAGGGACCCAGTTTCAGAAGCACAGGCTGGGTAGTTAGCATCCTGATGGCAGACGCTCAGGCTGCCTGCACGCTCCTGGGAGCAGCTTCACCAGCCTCAGACATGTGTCTTCCTCCACTTCCCGGCCGTCCCCAGATGCCGCCAGAGCAGCCCCCAGGTCACAGCCCTGGCCTGGCACGCCCAGCGCTCTGCATCCACGCTTGCTAGTGTAAGGTTTTTAGTTTTCGCCGACCCAAGGGCATAGAGTGGTTCCAGCCTAGCCGCACAGGGTCCTCAGGAACACAGACAAAGCCAGTCCCGAGTCTGACTGGCTCGGAGCTGCTGCACTCCTGGGGGAGGCCCCCCTCCTGCTGTCCCTGCTTCCGCTCTGGCAGGACATCTGGTCTGCACGAGTCAAAATGCAGAGTGAGGGAGGCCCAGAACATTCCGGAGAGGCTAGTACAGGGCAGGCAGTGCCTGCGAGGGAGTGACTGAAGGACTCGACCCCGTGACACTGCTGGGGCAACGGCAGACCGACTGCAATGAGCCAGCAGGTCAGGATGTGTGACCACAGAGCCCCCTGCTCAGGACCTGCAGCCACTCTCCAAGGACAAGAGTCACTTCCCTGAAAGCAGGCTCCCCACGACGCCTGGGGCCATGCACGAGACAGCCTCAGTCACGAGAGAGCACTGGGTGGCCGTCACTTCCATGCTGTCCGTGCTCACCTCACCTCCCACCTTCACAGGTAATTCTGGATTCTTTATCTTTCTTCACTAAGTAACAGTGCCTCATCTTATCTCATTCCTTTCATTGATGAAAAATCCAGTATCTAAGTTAAGTACTAAGAGGTTAAGTACTGTCCCCAAGGTTACAGAGCAGGCCTAACTCTGGGTCTCTCACCGTCACTTTGTGTCACCAGTTCTGAGAAGGGCATTTGTCACATTTCAACCTCTCAGGAACTGGACACACTGGACATCATCTCACTGGCAGCTGCTGACACCTTTCTTAGTAAGACACCACGCAAGGTGTGTCCTACAGGAGACAGCACGGGAAATGCGCTGAAGTGGGCAGGGCCCTACGGGGTAAGGACCCATCCGTAGTCCCAGAGCCCCTCCCTGCCTCCCGTCAACACTGTGTCCCTAACTCGCCTGTGTCAAAGCCCACAGGAGACGAAGGGCAGGAGCCGGGGAGGCAGGCACCCGGAGTGGGGCGAGGCCGCGAGCGCACCAGAGCAGCTCAGGAGCAGGAGGTGCTGGCCTGAAGTGACATGAAATGAAAGGGGTCTGCGGCAAACGCGGGGGCTGCTGGGTCAGAGCAAAGCAGCTCCTTGGCCGCGGGACTTTCTGGCACTAAAAATTCAGTACGTGACTTTGTGATGAACAGGCCCGGGAACCTGCTGGCCGTTTATCTCTTTACTGGTCTAATGTGAATTCCACCCTCGGAACCACTACAGCCAGCGATCCTGGGAAACACTCACCACTCCTTTGGAGAGGTAGTTATTGACAAAGTCCTTCCACGTGATCTCCCGCCCCGAGGTCCTGAACAGGAAGTAAAACATGACTCCGCCCCAGAACAGCGCAGTCCAGACAAAGTACATCCTGAACTCCTTGTCGTCCCACGGAACATCGCCCTGCGCAAGGAAGGAGGGTGTCTCTGAGGCCCGAGATGTCGCCCGTGCTCTGTGCCCTGCTGGACACTAAGCCCTCCCACAGCCACGTGGGCCCCGCCGCCCCAGCCGCCCCAGAGCCTCCAAACTAACGAACCTTCTGGAACCGGGACCACCAGTGGGAGTCATCCTTCCTGCCACCCCGTTTTCCACCACCACCAACTCCTCCTCCAGAAGGACGCGGGGCAGCCGCGGGCTTTGAGTCTGCGTGTAAACAGAGAGCCTATGTGTGCAGCAGCTCAGCAGAACCCTCATCTCCAACAACATTCTCACTACGACTTTAATACAAGTCTTCCTGCAGAATACATCGCGGCAGCTGGCTAGTGACTGATGCGCGTCCGGGAGCACAGGGGAGACACACAGGACCGAGCACCCAGTGGGCAAGCCTGCGCCACACACACCGCCCAGAACAGCTGCACAGCAGCCCAGTGACTGTCCACACAGCGCTCTGCCCGCCCCCTGCATGAAGACGCTGTGGCCTCGGTGGCCTATGGGACAACATGCTGCAGGGTTTGTTTTGCTGCAATGTGTGTCTGCGCCCCACCTGAAGGTACAACGTGTCCCCCCTCCCACCTCACGAAGTGAGCACTGCTGACAGGTTCTCCTGGAAGAAAAACTGATTCTGATCATTGGCAGAAAACAAACAACAAACCCACCTTGGCCACATAAAATTCATTTGTAAGAATCTGAAACTTGTTGCTGTTATGGGTCGAACTGTGTCAAGTGTATTTACCAAACATACAGGTAAACATGACTAATTACTAATACGACTAACATCGGTCAACCCGTACCATAAGGCGACCTTCAACTAATTCAATTTGAAAAATAACAAGGAAAAATATGGGCAGAAAATCAAGGGGAAACGCCACGCAGAATTCCGTATGTGCTTGTAACCTGCAGTTTCAGAACTGACTTCAGACAAGGTTTCTTCACTTGGTGGAAGCTGCCAGCAGCACCACACATCGGGGGACAGCGAGTCCACAGAGTTTGCTGAAAACGCACCTTTTTTTTCTCCCACAACTTCTTTGGGTTCACTGGCTTTTTTTCCATTTTTTCCATTAGGAAAGTATTTTTCAAATCCTGTTAGAAAAGAAAAACAATATCCTCAAACTAACATTCATCAGGTTTTGTCAGGCTTTTTTTTTTAAAGCACAGTTAGTTGCAGTGTGTCCATCTCTGGTTACAGCGCAGTGTCCCAGGCACGCCTGGACGTACTCATGTTCGTTTTCATATTCTTTTCCATTAAAAGTTATTACAAGGTATTGTGTACAGTTCCCTCATCAGGTCTTGTGTGTGCATGTTGTTTTTAAAGCATCCGACTCATCACTAAAAAGCATAAGGCTGCTTGTGCAGGAGTAAACCAAAGTCCAAATCATACAGTTCACAACCCCGAGGGGTTAGAGAAGAAAGCCAGCTGGAAAGCCACTTCCATTCCGCACAAGTGCTGCATTCGCGGCGACACGCTGTCAGCCCTGCCATCAGACAGGAGGCGGGGCGGGTCACACGAGGAGACACGTGAAGAACCAAGTGAAGTGACCCCTCCGCACCTGCTCCGTAAACACCTGTTGACAGTGAGTCTCTGAAACAAGACCATGGGGGTCACATCTGAGTGTTTACCTTTTGGAGGCCGAGAACAGAATCTCTGATAAGCAGCAATTACATCTGTCAGAAGAGAATTTCTGCTGGTTCTTGCTTGAGTTGTAGCATATCGATAAAGCTGCAACACAACATATAAATAAAAGCACGAAGGTTACATCGAGATAAAGAATTATAAGAAGAGCTTCATCTCCTAGTATGGCAAGGTGGACAGACTGTCTCTCCCTTCAACAGGCGGTTACAGACCAGCACAGGATGGCCCCTGCAGGGAGGACTACGTTGTCCAGCCCTGTCCGCTCTGTCCAGCAAGAACCACAGACCCAATCCGGAAGACAAGAGCACCTCAGATCACACCTAATTACAATTCCCCACCAGCACGCTCACTCGGGCATCGTGTACTTAGCCCTGCAAACTCCGACACGGGCATCTGCTGTCTCACTTGCAGGGTGTATCACAGTGCAAGCTCCTTCTCCCGAAATTACACAACAGTGCTGCCTGCGACCACTAAACTATGTTGATCTCAGTTCAAAGATAAGAAGGTTATGGTCCAACATCACTGATATGATCCTTATACTAGTAGCAGATATCTTCAGAAGATATCTGATAGTGTCATTCTGGTGACAACCCCAGTTACGCAAGCCCCATCACAGATATATCTCTGCTTTAAATAACATGTTGCTGAAGTTGTTTGTAAATACAGCCCTGATAAATGGGAGTACAATGTAAACAAACTGAACACGTTCTGTATTAAACATTTAGCTGCACAATTAAAAGCAATCAATGGCAAGGTGCTTTGAGGGGATACATCCAAACTTGACAGTAAAAAATTTCAAGTCAGCTTATCCTTTTGCAAAGTGAAAATTCACCACCATTTTTCACGAGGGCAAGCTCTTGCACACGAACGGGAATGTTTAAAGGGAAGTTCATCTGAATCAGTTTCCATCCTCACTGGCCTCCTTTATGGTCCAATGAGAAGAATAAAACATCACAAAACCACATAAACCACTTCACATTCACTAGTTCAACCATAACCAAAAAGAGAGACAGCAGCCAGTGTCGGGAGGACGTGCAGACACTGGAGCCCTGGGTACCGCTGGGGCAACGCGCCCTGGTGCAGCCGCTATGGGGAAGCCTGGCATTCTCATGACCCAGCAAGTCCACTCCTACCCAACAAAATGGAAAACCTACGTCCACCCAAAACTTTGTACGGGAATGTTCACAGCAGCCAGAAAGTGGAAACAGCCCAAATGTCCACCAACTGAGGAACAGACAAAATGTGGTATACGCACACCATGGAACACTCAGCCGTAACAGAGGGACGGAGCACTGACACGGGCTACCATGAAACCTTGATGACATTATTTTAAGTCAAAGAAACCAGACACAAAAGTTCACATATGATTTCGTTTATGTGAAATGTCCAAAGTACTAAACCAATAGAGACTGTACGTGAGTAGGTGCCTGAGGCTGGGGAATGGTTGGGGAGAAGTGGGGAGGGACTTACCTTCGGGTGATGAAAATGTTCTGGAATTAGAAAGTGGTAATGGCTGCACAACCTTATGACTACACTAAAAACCACGGAAAAGGGCATTTTAAAACAATGGATTTTATGATATCTGAATTAAAATGCCAATTAAAATGATAAGCTGATTTAACTTCAAACGAATACACAGCAAAATAGGACAGAAACACTGACACTGTTCTTGGTTGACAGCAAGTGCAGGTCTGAGAGAATTCGGAGCTTCTGCTGCTAGGCCCTTTCTGGCAGGCAGCTGGGACTCCTGCCTATGAATAACTGCTGATAATGGGTAAGAGTGTGTCATAAGTGATTACATATTCTCCAGTGCCAAATCCACGAAGGGTGTGGACTACAACAACCTGTTATCCCAGCTGGACAGACAAGTTAGAGTATCTGCTCCTGGTCAAAGGCTGCCAAGCGGGGGTGGGGGGAGTGGGGGTGGTCCCTGGGGGACCAGAACCACTACGGCCCCTAGAGAACTCAGGAGAGTGAGGAAGAGGGTCCTGGGGACAAATCAATCACAGGATGGCACCCTCCGTGCAATACAAACATGTTAGTGTAAGGACAGAGGGGGTGCAGAGAAGCAGGTACGTGTTTGAGGGACCAGGGATGTTGCAAGGGAAGTGATGCCTAGCCTGGGACCTGCAGGACCTACGGTTTACCAGGCAAACAGTGTCAGAACTTCCCATTTCGGTAAAGCTTGAAATGTGTACTTTTTGCACAATGATCTTTGACTTATCTCCCAAGACTGGAATCCTCAGAGTCACACACCTGCAGTGGGAGAAGAAAACCAGCTCCCAGGGATACTACCGTGGGATCAAATGTAAGTGAATTCAAAAGCACTTTAAAAATGCTGCGGCCATTTAAACAACCATTCCCAATTATTCTGACAGCTATCTGAGAGCAAGGGTTCTTTGTATCAGCACATAAAGCAAGTCTGCGTGTGACAATACAGAACAGAGCTGGGTACAAGGTATGTACTCTGTAAACACTTCTTTTTGTTTCACTACTTCCAGTTTGTGGACTAACAGGCCCCCTTTAGGCTTAGAACACCCGCAGCAACAATCCCTGTGACTGCAGGGATGCTGACGCTGTTGTCTGCAGGAGAACCATCAATGAACTTTTTTCCCTCTGCTTATCCAACCCAAGCCCATTCAAAGAAAAAACACATATAAAACATACCAGTTTGTAAAGTTTAAGTTTAGAGCACCTCATTTTAGAGGGCTAGCTGTTAACCCGACAAAGTGAGTACTTTTCACTTGCTTTATCATCCGGTTAGTCCTCTTGAGGGTTATACCTGAGAATGGACACATAACACATCAAACTCTTTCCCCCAGGAACCTCACTGTTACAAGAGGCTTTTAACAGCAGCACAAATAGAGAGGAAAATCTGTCCTTTCAGAGTCCCTTGCAGGTGGCACAGTAATGCCCCGGTGTCCCCACGGAGACCTTCAGGGCAGTGCCAGGGAGTAAGTGTCACGGACCCCCAAACAAGCTGCTGGTCCTTGCACCTCTCAGCGTCGATGATTTCATAGGAACTGCGGTGCTGCTCGGATGAAGGGCTTAGGTAAGACTCCTGGCCAAAAATTAAAAAAACCCAAAACAAAAAAACTCACAAACTCGCAAAGCAGATCCCACCCGCTCGTTCAAAGTCAGAGTCCAACATTCAGAAGGGACAAAAGGTGAGGGATCAGAGCAAGGTAAGACGGGGAAATGGACGCAATGAAGAAAGTGCAGAGGCGTGGTGTAGGGCATTACGGAGCGGGAGACGGACGGAGACATCCAGGCTGCAGCAGGGCTTCGAGGAGCAAACAAACGTCAGGAACGCAGGTGCTATCACTGCTGACCCCGCGGAGCGGCTGAGACCACTACCTCAAGGCCGGACCAAGG